TTTTTCAGCTTATGCATCCCTCTGCTAGCTAACGAGTCAATTGCTTTTTCACATTGCTCCTGCAATGGTAAAACAGAATAGGAATGGTACTGAAAGTGGCTTTCTCAGTACAGACCATTTTATGTTTAATTACCCTACATTGGTATTTGCTATAAAAATTGTAAGTCATTTGTTATAGCATCTGTTACACTTGTTCCTCATTTATTTTCAGTTTCTTACACCAAATTTTGTTTTCAGCATGAGCTAGAACATCAATGAAACTGAAACGATCTGCTCGCTGCATCTTAGTTCTACCAAAAACGATCAGGAAAAAGCAGTGAACTCAAAGCTGATTAATTTTCTCCTGTTATGATACTAAACAACAAACAGTACAGTACTGGGAAGCAAATGAGAGACTCACTGAAACTTCACCCAATCTACTGGCTGTGAAGATTTAGATTTTAAATAAAAATGAAGTAGCAAGTTGAACTCAAATTATAAACAAGAAAGGGAAACTTCCCTCAAGCAGGAGTGAGTCATGGTTTCCAATCTTATGCAAAAAAACCCTTCCCCTTCTACACCAGGCAATCCTGATTTTTCTTCTCTCATCATCACTTGTCACACCGACTTAAAACAAATGTATCCCTCTAATATTTTATTTAAATACTCATACTTAAATGCTTGTATGTAAGCACATTTTCAGGGTGTGGCTCTACAGAGACAGTGGTGGATTGTGGAACAGCTGCCATTTCCGATCCATGGAAGTGCTTTTACCCAGTTGGGGCCTTTGGGTGTTATCATAATTTAAATATTTACAGCTGATCTAAGAATTTGATATGGCCCCTGCTACCGTCAGATCAGAGAGTGGGAAGTGCTATTATCCTCATTTTGTTGATGGTAACCTGGGGCACAAAGAGACAGAACTTGTCCATGTCACACAGGACGTGTGACTGAGCAGAGAGTTGAACCCAACCCTTCCAAGCTCTAGGCTACGGTCATAACTACTGGATGAGCCTTCTAGTCCCACCAATACTGTCTCCAAGGAAATACTAGGTCCTGTAGTGTTCCCCCACATGTTAAATAGGGTTTGCTGAAATCCATGCTTTTATACACAGCTGAACAAACCATACCCATCTGCCAATGCACAAAGCCAGAATTTAAAGCAGCAATACTTACCCTTTGGCTCCCAAGTCACATACCTCTCCCTAAGTCCTACATTCAGCAATGTTCTTAGGTTTCAGGATTCTTGCTATGTCCTGACCATGATACGTGGTGGTTGCCATAAGGAAGATATAGCAGTTTAGAGCACATGCAGTCAAAAGTGGATAGAACCACTGCTTAAAATTAGTGACAGATTTCAAATACTAGGTCCCTCATGGAGCTCTAAATAACACTGAGTGTATTGTAGCCTTTAGTTAGCTGTGTTGAAAAATGCATTAACTATTGGGTTATAATCTTGGTACCCATATTTTTCTGCTCTAAATAGGTTTAACTCCTCTACTTTATTTTTAGTTGGGGGAGAGTGGAATCAGGGGGTGGGTTAAGTTTGGGAGAAGGCAGGGATTGTTGTTCTGGCATTTCCTCAAGCAGTGGTGGAGGTACTAGTGGAGAAAGCTGGAAAAGCAGTTCAGGAAAGAGGTGAAGTGGGGCTAGGTTGAGATGGTGAAGTATATGTGGAAAGCTAAAGCTGCAGGTGGAGAAAGAGAATCATGGGGAGGCCAAACATCAGATGGCAGGTAATGGGACCGCTGGGGAGAAGAGGTGGTGGTGGGGGCTAGAGAAGCTGCTAGCAAGGGGAGTGGTCTGGGGGAGGGGCGCGAGAGCCTGGTACAGGGGCAAGGCACATGACTGTGCTAACATCGCTTTAGAAAAGAGACAGAGGGTGTGAGGAAACGGTAGCTATGTGGTAGAAGCACTTTGTGACTCTGTTGATAAAGTAGCTCTTTCGCTGTTAAGGTTGCATATGATGGTTTTAAAGTATCCTTTTGCTGAATAATATGCAGCAAGGTTACCTGTTAGGCCTCAAATAGCGTAAAACCCATTATTATTAGAACATCATATTTACCAAGATGTGGCCAACTCTCCACTCTATTTGTATGCTGTACCTCTAAGCAAAGACTAGGCCACCTTTTGTTTGGAAAGTGCCTTCCATGCTGTAGATGTCACCATAAATAAATCATAAGATGAGCATGATGATGACCTTGCTGGCCACTAGAAGCTACCACTTGGCATGTATCACTCTTCTAAGGAAACCAAGGGCCTGAAATGCTGCTATTTTACACTAGTGGAGTCACACAGATGTAAAAGTGGAGTAAATGGAGTCACAGTGGCCCAAGACTTGTGTTAACGCACTGGGGAATCGGCCCCATGATTTTCTAAATAAACCTAGTTTAAACTTACCAGGTTACTTATCTTGCCCCACAACTTGCAACATATATTGATTGGTTTTGGCTAAACTTTGAGCAGTAATCGATACCATTAACTACATTGAGAGTAACACCTGAAAGGTCCAAAACTCTCTCATTCATCCTTGGGAAGAACGTGTGAATTGAAAACGTTCTCCTTATCAGAAATTCTGGAAGAAATCAGGTCTGCTAAATCCATTAGGAGCAAGTACTCTCAGGAGAGCGAAGAAGAAATTACTAACCTTCATTTTGATAGAGATGATTTTCACCCTAGCAGAGCAGAGAATTGGCAGCCTGTAAGAAATAAACCACCTCCGAATTTTGATTCTGGTAAGAGGTTAACTAAGCACACTGATGATGAAGCTAAGATCTTGCTTAGCCAAACTGCCACTTCAAAATGACCACTGCTGGACTCACATGGGCTTTGTCAGGTAACACATTGGCTTTCCTTTGTCTGCTGCCATCTTGGATGTTACCTTGTCAAGCATGATCATGGCTACCAGTTGAGCTGTGGAGAGACTGGCATAGTTTGTGTTCAACGTACAAAATATCCTTGAATAGGAAAATGTGTGGCCAAAAGTCAAATGCTTATGGAAGAAATAAAAGGGACAACAGTCAGACGTGTCAACAGGGCTCCTTCAACTATGCTGATGCTAAGTACAAATCTGGCTTGAAGAACTAAGCCCTGAGCTTTAGAATGATGTCAAATGCAGTCACGTACGGGGCCAAAGAGTTGTAGGAAAAGAATCAAAGAAAGAGACACCGAGAGGTTGGGAAGTAAAAAGGTTTGAAGAATGTTAAACTGTCATGAAAAATGTGGTGGGCTGAGGGGGTTCCATTTCTAACGCAGCCTAAATTACACATGTGGAAAGGAGGTGTGGGGTGCTGAAACTCTTCAGTGGAATAAGGGCTCCAAAAGATTCTGGGGCTGCTTTGAGGCAGTCTTTATGCATTGCAATCCAGCAGAAAGGGACAACGTAAGCACACTGGCCAGATCCTCAGCTGGTATAACTCAGCATAGCTCGACTGATGTCAATGAAGTTGCACTGATATATATATATAGCAGCTGAGGATCTGGCCTCCTGTCTTTAGTCCAAACTTTAAGCTGTTCCTGGGAACTGGTTTTAGGGCTGACTCAACTAACAACAATGAAAACATAAACCTGGGTCTAAACTCTCTCCTTGCACTTGGCTGTCTGCAGGGTTTCCCTACAGATGCATCTCCGTCTTAGGCCAGGTCTACACTTGAAACTGTTATTGATAGAGTATTGTCTCTTAATGGTATGATATGTAGAGACATTTTTATACTGGCAAAACCATTAGTGCAGACACAGTTATGCTGGCATTTAAAATGCTTTCGCTGGCACAGTTTATTTAGCGTGAGAAATTGGTATAAACTATACCGCCAAAAGCACTTTTTTGCCAGCATCGTGTGCCTCTCCACTAGGAGGTTTTGCTGATGTAGCTATACCAGAATAACTGTAACCACAGCTCTTTCCTAGCGTAGTGCAGGGTAAGCCTTAATCTGGTCAAAGAACTACTCCCATCTCTTCATAGGCAGGGTAAAGTTAATGAACCACAGCTGCCTCCCTGAGTCAGCTGGAATCAGGCAGCATTTCCCTGTGGGATAACACCTACTTACAGGGTGGGGCAACAGAAAAACCTGGCCTCTTTAGGCTAAACAAACAAACAAACAAACAAACAAACAAACGTCTTTCACTTTGCAGTTCACCTTGAAAAGACCAAGTAATTCACTAAATCTTTTCCAAACCAAACCCTGTTAAAGAAATGCATTAACCATAATAACTCTGCTGTGGAAAGGGGGCTCTCAAGTCCCAGCTAACGAAAAACTAGTGCTATCTCAAATTTACACTGTATTGCATGCGTAACATAATGTGCATAATTTGGAAAAGTGGCCTAGCTAAATGAAGTGGGCTAATGTCATCCTTTCCCATCTCCTTAATCTGTGCCCCTTCCCTCAACAGGACACTAATCAGCGTTCAGCTTTTCCAGTTCAGCATCTGATTGCTGCTAAGCCAGTTGAGCAAGTCCCCCTTCTCTTTTCTAATTTTTTCCCCAAATTCAATTTTGAGTTTAATACAAGCCACATTTTTTTCTTTCAGAGGATTCATATAACTACATTGTACAGGGGGACTGAACAGGGACAGCACAGTGACCTCATAAGTATTACCACTAGGAAGTGACATTTTTCCTCCTTTTGTTCTGCTAGGTCCCTACAGACTATAGTTAAAATATTGGAGACATTCTACTTAAAGGCAGGAAGGCTGCATTTTCAATGTAGATAAATTTCTGATTTAATTTTCTGTGTGATTGAACTAAATCAAACATGATTAGTCCATGAACACTCTTGAAGTGAAGATTGTGACCTTTATCAAAGAACCTCATGGAGAATAACTTGAAATCAAATCAGCAGGCTCTAAGAATATACATTAGCAAAAATGAACTGAAGTCAAATAAATGGCCACAATACTCTCAAAAATATTTGTCTAACATGCTACCAATCCTAAGGGGGGGGAGGGATTTATTTTGGCTCTTACAGAATTAAAAGGTTGCTAAACTCAAGGACAGACAGATGTAACAACTCAATATGCCTCCGGTAAGTGCTCTATGACACTTTTATTTTTAATCCTTTTCTCAACAGTACATGACACTAAAGGTCCTGATGCCAGTTTACACGTCTTACCCATGTGTATCTTCCCTGCAAGTGGATTTTTTTTCAGTGGGGAGGGCATATGTGCCTGCTACCTGCATGCAGAAAAAAGAGCCAAACTGTGAAGCTCCTACTCATATTGAATAGCACCTTACTCTTGCTATTGACATCAATGGGCCTACGTGTGGAGTAAAGCTTCAGCATACATCAGGGACTCATGATCTAGGTCTGTATTCTTTCTGCATGAGCATTAAGGTGTGTTTGGCTAACCATGGTTCTGAACGAATACAACACTCTTTTGAGAAAACACATGACTTCGCTGTGGCTTAACTTCAAGGGCTCCCGCACTTTTTACCTCTTTTGCATACAACCCTAAAGAATCAAACCTGTTAACCTGCCTAACGCTAGCAGGATTTTAGCTCCAGCTAGACTGAGCTCAGTTATATAGTGGTTTACTGGGGGGCAAGGTTGAGTAAGGATGGGTTGGAGCAATAGCAGAAGGGCCACAGGGAGCCCTGGATGGTTTTGTCTAGCCCGCCTGCCTCATTAATAATACAAATATTTTACATTGCTATAGCACATGGCAGTTCCAAAGTACTGTAGAAGCCTGCCCTAATTAACCTGTTAACTAATAAATGCCATGTCCTTATGGAACACAAATACCTAATCCTCTATTATGCTGCTTCATTACTTTTCTTTCTGCAGAGGTGTGTATGTTTTCCACTTATATACAGGAATTCATCTTCAACTAGTCAATAAGAAAAACAACAAACTATAAATCCTTGCAGAATTTGTTCCACACTGGGTTATGCAATCAGGGGTTTGAAACAGTCCTTTTATTATTTATATATTTTTTTACTTTACAAATAATTATATATAGTTACACATGTCCCTTCACAGAAGGTACATTAAAAACAAAAAGCTTGTATCATCCAAAATAAACACTTTGTTGTTCATTAATATAAAATGGACTGATATTTCTAGTAGGAGACATATCCAAACCACTGTTCATCCAAATTTCTTGCATTATCTGTTCTCGGCGCTCTATCCTTTCAGCCAGTTCAGCTGCTTCTGTTGAATTATAACCCGAGTAATACGTCCTATAAAATCCTGTTCGCTCATTTGGCAAGTCTGAATCTGAAGAATCTTCCTCTTCTTCATCATCACTGTGATCATCTGCTTTGTCGCTTTCCAGCACAGAATGGTCTTTCATTCTGTGCAGTTTTGGGAAGTCGTTAGTGCATGACACATGTATCACCAAAGCACACAGTGTGAAGACTAAGCCCACACACACACTAGACACAAACAGGAGAGCAGCTCTTTCAGGGTGATCTAAAATTCAAAACAAAAAGCCAGACTTAAAACATCTGTAAACAAAAGCCGAGAACAGATACAAAAGTCAGCAGTCATTTCCAAAGAGCCCTACGTGATGTTGGGTAAGTTTGGTGCTTTTTTGGCATTATCTGCCATGCAACAAAAAGTTTTTGTACTTGTCATCTAAATCCTGCCTAGTCAATTTCTTTAATTACTGGGCAAAAAGACTTGCCCCTAAAAGTGTTATGCTGTATTTTATGAATAGTTTACTAGCACTCTTAAACACTGGCTGGTGGCCGTGCATCCCTTTTCTAGCCCTCTTGCCATAGTGGGCATGGCCTGGGAAAAGGGGGCAGGGCAGAGAGGTTCTGTGTTCTGGCAAACTCTGGTTGCCAGAATAGTCCCTCAGGCTGTTGCAGCCTTCTTGACAAAGGGTACACCTACATTTGAGCTGGGAGCTGGGATTCCTAGCTAGCGTAGACGTACCCATGCTAGCTCTGCTCCAGCTTGCATGCTAAAAATAGCAGCGCAGCCAGGGTAGCGGCTCTGGCTCACCGCCTGAGTACATACGTGCCCAGCCCCCTGGATACATGTTTGGGGGCTAGCCAAAACCATGGCCCTGCTAGCCCCAGATACACTGTTCTTTTTAGTGCTCTAGCATAAGCAGCACTAATGTGGGTACATCTATCTCAGCTGAGAATAGCACCTGTGAGCTCAAATGTAAAGCAGTCCTGAGACTGTTCTAAGTTGCCACTCAGGACCATCTCCATCTGCAGGTACACATCAAATGTTTGTTCCACTATATTTGGGAGGGAAAGAAGACACCTGGGCACCCTTCACTGAGAAAGAAAAGGATAGCACTCTTACTTCATGAAAAAAAGGGTTCTCAATTGGGTTAGGTTGAAAACGCTGGAGTGAACTTCGGGTGAGATAAACTTCTTTAGATAGAAGGTTAAGTTTAGTCTCTAGAAAGTGTGTTATAATTTTGTTTTATATGTAACCATTTGTTTCTGCTATTCTTACTCATTATCACTTAAATCTCTGTTTCTTTATAACAGACATTCTTATTTTCACTGTAACTACATCTAAGTGCTGGGGCGTAAAGAAAAATGCTGGTGCTTAGTTGAATCTTACAAGCTGTTCCTTTGGGAACAGCAAGCCTGGTAATTCTGTGAGTGTTCAGTGGATAAGGAGCTGGACACTGCTGGGAACGCTCTGAGAACTCAGGGAGTTGCTGTGTGCCGTCCCTACCTGTACAGCGAGACTAAGGCCTGTGGAGGCCTGGAAGGTAACGCTTGTGCTGCCAGAGGCTGTTGGTTTCAGGGAGCAGGCAGAGACGCTGCTTCACGATTAAGGGCAAGTGGTGGCGAGGTGCCTCACAACCCTGGTGTAACGTGGTTGGCATCCACTTCTCACATATGCCCCCTTCTGGTACGATGTGTCTGCAGTCTCTCCATTTATGGTGACCCATCAGTAGTGTCTCAGGTGGTTTATTAGTGATTCAGCCCTCCGGCCGAGTCACACATACTGTCTGTATGTGAAACAGAACAAACCCCTTCCAGGGTAACAGTCTTTAACTTGCCCCAGATATGATATGGGCCGTACCCTCAAGGCTTCTTCCCTGGAGACACTGTCTTTTTGTGGCTCTCCCTAGGCTCAGTCCTTACTCAGTCCCAACTGCCAGCCAGGAAAGCCTTCTTTGCTCCCCCGGTCCCTGCCCGCAGACTGTCTTGGGCTCACTCCCAGCAGAAAGCCAGGAGCTCTCTCTTACTCCCCCAGTCCCTTCCCACACTGAGCTGTCCGTGGTCCTACTTCTCTTTCAGACAGTGAGGAACACAGTCCTCTCTCCTCCAACTCCAGACAGCAACTGACTGCTGCTCTGTTCTGCAGCTCCTTTTATATGGTCCCGCTGGGCCCTGATTGATTGCTCCCTGCAGCCTCTCTCACTGGCTCTTTCTCCGCAATCACGCTTGGCTGCTTGGAAGACTTCTCTTCTGCTCCTCTCTGGGATGGAGTGTGGCAGGACCCTGAGGCCTCCAGTCACACCCGGGCACTCTTGAGGAGCATCACATCAGCTCAGTACTTGTATGGGAGACCTCTAAAGCAAAGGTGTGCTACAGGAAGGTGTGATGGTGACTCAATAGGGAACACTCTTCTGTCTGACTCACTATTTAATGACTTTCCCAGTACGGTGCTAGGGGACACTGGGCTGCATCAGTATCATGTTTCAAATGCGTTGTAAAACCAAAGTTGTAATTGCTTGTGCTCATTCACAGATCCCATGACCTCTTCTGAAAGAGTAGAAATGTTGGCTCCAGGGCTGCTCTCACATTTCAACTTGTGGTGTTATATTCTGTCTACCTACATTTTTTTCTGAGTTTTCGGTTAGCTGGTGATATTATTGTTATGAGCTGGGTGATACCTTGTTATGGGTTGAGTTAAAAGCCCACTGAGAGTGGTAGATGTGAACTCATCCTTCAGTTAACATAACTGTAAGCATAAGCCCCACTGAAGGCAAAAAGTGTGTGTAAACCCACTCAGGAGTTTTTGGTTGAATACTGTTTTGGGTAGGGATGTGTGTGTGAGAAGAGAGTCACTGTAGTTAATCCACCTCCCTGAGATGCAGTAGCTAAATCAATGGAAGAATTCTTCTGTCCTAGCACTGTCTACACTGGGGTTTAGGTCAGTGCTAGGTTTAACTATGGTTTAGGTTTAACTATGTCACTCAAGGTTGTGGATTTTTCACACCTTTGAGTGATCCTATTGGGATCCAGGAAGTGTCTATAGATCTATACACGAGCGTGTATAGATGTCGGCCGGGCAAGCCGGCCGACATCTATACCTTTGACATCACCTTTGAGTGATGTAGCTAGGTCAACCTAACTTTTCAGTGTAGACCACCCCTGAGAATGAAAGACAACTGAAAGGAGCAGTTGAAAGCTGAAGGTGGCTGACTCTGGAAGAAACCTGGGAAGAGGTTTTTGGGTTATGGGTGCAGGCTAAAAGAGCACTCTTGGTGCTGGATGCAAAAGAAGCTGTTTCTTGCTATTTGATCCCCTCTGATTTCAAAGACACAGGACTTTGTACAGTCTTTGTAAATAAACAAAACTGGATCAAAGAAACACCTATCACCAATTTCTGCTTCTAACTGGAATATCTATAGGGCCCTAAACTTTGACTAGCCACTCAGGTCTAAAAGGGGCAACATGATTTTATATGTATTTTCCTAAATCCTGCTCTGTAGTGTTGTTGGGTCAGAATTCCCACATCGCCAATGGTAGACACAGACTGATCATCCAACTAGACCATCTTAAAGATCTAGCTAGAGGTTGATCTGAGTGGCACTTAATCTGCAAGGAGGCCACGTCCCTTTGGGATTTGCCTTGATGATTGATGGTGGTGGTGGTGGTGGCAATGGGTCAGAATTCCTGTCATGTGCCATCCCATGGTTGAATTTTAATTGTGCTTCAATAATCCTTATATATACAGATTAAAAATTCCAAAAATGGATTCCTAAAGATAGGCTCCTAAATAAGTGCCTAATTTTCTAAAGTGCTGAGCACCCAGCAGCTCTCATTGAAAGCACTCATTTAAAAAATCTTGGCAGCAACCTCTAAAAGAGTTTAGGATCCTTCGGGCTGGAACATATTACATAAATGTCAGTTGTTATGTTATTATTGTCTCATCCTCCCGGCAGTGTGGTAATGCTCTATCAGCACAATTATTCGAAGTAACAGGTTTACCAAATACAATATAAGGAGGAAAAAAACCCAACATTTTCCTACCTCTAATGTAAGCAAATGTAGCCAAAGAGTTGCTAATAATAATTCCATCTTTCTTTGGCAGCCTTGATTCCCTGGAGTCAATGTTTATATCTGTAATGTGAAAATACAAGACAAATGCAATTAGATTGTAACACCCAAACCCATGATTTACAAACAAAACATAATGGATAGTTAGAAAACTAAAAAATTGTTATTAAACAGCAACTATGACCAATTCCAGTGCCTGAACCAAAGCCCAAAGAGGCCAAAGGAAAGATTCCCAATGACTTCACTGAGCTTTCGATCAAACCCTATATGAATCACTTCCCAAAGCAATCTCTGCAGTATCCTAGAAATGGTGGCAATAGAGGATGTGTGCTAGCCACACCATTCATTTTCTCTGTTGTTCACAAAATTACATTTCAGTCTTACTCATACATGGCTATCCAGTCTGAAACCATCATATACTCACTGTTACTGTTCACATCTCTTGACCACAGTTAAGAAAGATGTACCATAGTTATGGATAACCATAATGTGCCAATGTCCCAGCGATGGAAATGTCAAAATGCAATATGTTTAAAGTTCTGTTTAAAGTGACTTCAATGGCTTAATTAAAGATCACAGCTCACAGTATGTAGTGTAAGGGGATGGTTAGCAGATAACTTGTTTTTTATTTGCAGTTTCCCCTCCACCTTATTCCAATCTAAATTTAATAAATTAATAGACAAGAATGAAATATGATAAGAAATATTAAGATTATACTGTGCATGGCTACTTCCCAGGGAATGAAAGTGGCCAGACTGAGAAGCAGCTGAGGAGAACAGCAATGAAAATTAACAGTACAAGTATTGCCACTCTGATTCTTGAGGAAACCTTGTGCGTATAAACACAACGTTGATCAAGTTTTCTTTTTTTCAGAAAATCTTTAGCTCTGTGTACAAACAACCACATTGTGTAGCTTGTTTGGTTTGAACATGCAGTTTCAGGCAAATGACTTCTCCACACTTTAAGGCACCCCTTTAAATATTCAGAAGCGCTGGCAGTGAACTACACTGCACATTGGGCATGTGCGTTCTGGAGTAGACCCAAAATTCCAGGCTGTGCCTCTGTAAAAGGTGGCCAGAACAAGGCAGCGATTGGCACACTAAGGTCCTGGAGAGAATGGGTAGCTCCTCACTTACCAGAGCCACTGAGCATCTACTGAGTCAACAGGTTCTTCCATAGGAACAGGTGTGGGAAGCATGCCGTAACCCCTCAGCTGCAAGCTTACCCGCTTCATCTCTCAAATGTAGGACCAAATCTTGCAATCCTTGCTCGAGCCAACATCTCATATATTTTTACAGGCATTTGACCTGAGAAAAGGACTTCTGGATTTGGCCCACAATAATTTATTTACTATCAGGCTCAGAATCTTGCCTTTGTTCCTGAATGGATTTCTCATTGTGAAATTCCCACGTTACAGTATCATCAGAATCTAATTGTGTAGAACTCATTCTGTTGATGATAAAACGCTTTTTATTTTTTTTTACAACTTTCAGTGGTCAGAGCCAGTTTTAACACATGATTTTACTACTTCCCCCTCTAATTATTCTAATACAACTATGTCCATCTGTGATCAAACATATTTCCTATTTTGACTTAAAGACAATGATGGTAATAAACCATAAAAATTACCATATTTACCATCATTCTGCTTTAGAGAAGGATTTAGATTAGAAATCATCGGATCAACTGCTGTAAGTATGATTCTGGGCACTAAAAAGAAAAAAGAAAAATTGTATACCGTCAATTTTAAGAATGTTACACTATCTGAGTTGTTATCTTAATCACACTGCAAATAAGGAAAATTCACTATAAACTATGGTCCAGAATAATAATCAAACCCATGATTAGTACATTTTAAATGTGCACAATCAACACCTTTATGATCATTGTAACACAAACGACCAGGGCTGTAATTTGCTGCTGGCCTTGTCTACTAAAGAACATTCATACAGAGGCTCCACTCCTGCAACTGGATTCACACAGGCAGACCCTTGTGCCTGCGTGCAGCTCAAGTGCAGTCAATGTGACTGCATGAGGGTGTTAGGATCTGTTCTTCTGGGTTGGACTGAAGGACTAGGGCCAGAGTTTGTGCTCCCAGAGCCACAGGTACCAAAAGAGCTAATTTTCTCTTGTTAATAACAAAAGATGAATCAAATGGAGAGCAGAAGTTTTCTTTCTTTCAGGGGCAAGTTCTTGCTTTTTCTGCTGCTCTTCTTATGTTCCTACTTGTAGTCAAAAGTAATAGATGGTACAAGAAACAAGTCCTTGTTAAATCCCTTAGCTCCAGGTGAGAGCCAGGGTCTGGACTCCTGCCAGAGATCTGTCTCACAGGGCATAGTTTCCCTAAGACATAACTATCTAATAGCTAGATCCAGCTTTCTGGCCCAAAAGGAAATGCCAATGAACAGGAAATAATGAGGCATATTTTTGATAGACCTTAAATTGTGCCAATCACTGCTTTTGATGAGGAAAATAGACCAAGTCTGTAATGATCAGTAAAGAAATGTTTGAAGCCCTGTGTGATATGCTCTGTAACTTTCCTGACTAGAAGTTTTTGTTCTACTTCAAGTGGTGGACCCTATGGGTATGCCATTGTGGGTGTGCATGCATTCCATGTGCCAGAGAACCCACAGTGGAATATAGGGACCACACAACTTGAAAAACTCCAGTTACAGCAAGGCTCCTATTACCCCCCACTCCCTGTCCCAATTTTTCACACGTGCGGTCTGGTTACCCTAATTTCAGTTTAACTACAGCCCTCTGGGGTGTGAACTTTTCACCTGAGTGACACAGCTAGGTTGATCGAAATTTTAAGTGTAGACTAAGCATTGGTCTGAGTGGCCAGAGAACTGTTTCCTTTTAATTAACTTCTTTTTCTTCTGGTGCATTTTAGTGGATTTAATTTGGAAGCTTTCACACTCTTCTTACAGGGATTAAAATGATCTAAAAGGAAGGCACATTGTGTACATGTTAAGAGCTCACAAATCCTGTGTCAGATGAATGGGTCCTTCAGTTATCCTGATCTTGGCACCTATTCTCTGTACTATACAAAGACAGACTGATGGAGTTTCACACGCATTTGGAAAATGGAAGACATTTCAGGTATGAAACAAATGTTTGCCAATAAACTATGTAAAAGAAGATTGACAGGAACAGAGGGAGGTCCAGTGCAAGGGGTTGAAGTACAGTTTTACTCTGAAAAATAACTGTAAAAATGGCACTTCTTACTGCCCAGCCATTCTCCATAGGTGTGCGATCAAAGTCATATCTGTTTCCTTTCCTGGTAAAGTTTTTAAAGTAAGTTTTAGTACTTTTGACTCCTTTAAATACTGCAAAGCCAACACGGATATTGAAGAGTAATTTGGCCTCTATTTTGTCTTGTGCATCATCAGATTTGTTAACTGAGTTCCAGAGGCAGAATTTTTATTATTGATGTGTGCAGGGCCAGCTCCAGGCAGCAACTTAACAAGCAGGTGCTTGGGGCGGCCAAGGGAGAGGGGCGGCACCTGCGGCAATTCGGGGGTGGCAGGTCCCTCACTCCCTCTAGGAGCGAAGGACCTGCCGCTGAACGGCTGCCACCGATCGCGATCGCGGCTTTTTTTTTTTTTTTTTTTTTTGCTTGGGGCGGCAGAAATGCTGGAGCCGGCCCTGGATGGGTGAGCCAGAAAATGAACAGCTTGATTTTCAGATTCCAGGCTGAATTTGGAGGGCTGGCACGTGTAAAAAAAAAAAAAATAACTGTGTGTTCATTTGTGAGGCTGTGAGTCTGTCATGGAGATCACGGAAGTCACGGATTCCGTGACTTTCCAGGACCTCTGTGACTTCTGGCCATTGCTGGGGCAGTCTTGGGCCGCCGTGCCCCCTCCCCCAGCAGCAGCAGTGGGGGGCCTGAGCTACTGCCACCTGCCCACCCCAATACCGGTGGGGGCCCTGGGCCACGTGCCACTGTGCCTCCCCCCAAGCACCCACAGAGGTCCCGGGCCACATGCTGCCTCCCGCCAGCACCCGCGGCGCCCAGCTCCCCCGGGCCACCCCCAGAGCACCTGCGGCACACCCAGGCCGCCCCCCTGTCATCACCCAAGATTTAGTCGGGGTCTATAGTACAAGTCATGGACAGATCACAGGGCATGAATTTTTGTTTACTGCCCATGACCTGTCCATGACTTTTACCAAAAATACCCGTGACTGAAACGTAGCTTTATTAATTTGTAATAGCTGGTCTGGAAATAATGAAAGACACTAAACAAGGAACACCATGATTCTGTTTTTATAAATTCCGTTTTCAAAGTACAAGTGCATTTTAAATGAGATCTGGCAAGATTCTTGGGATAACACTTATGATCAAAGGGGCCAAAGGCCTTGTGGTGTCTATTACCACAAAGGATGCATCTGTAGGGAGTATTTTCATATGTTTCTTTTAGAGAGACTCTCAGGTGGTGAGAAAGAAGGAAATATGGAACATATTCTAAAGGAAAGACCCAGCACTGCTGAGACAGAAAAAAATCACATATTGTATTACATTTTTATTTCAGAGATCAGCCATTAAGATTTTATGACAGCATAAATCATTTATCTTGAAATTTGCAGAAAAGGGGGGTCTACATTTTCTGTAAAACTTGGGTTTTACAGAAAATGGGTTTTGGGATTCTCTGGAAAGAACTGAGGTGTAAAACTAATACAATGTATACTACTATTTGATCATGCTGAGATGCCTTATCTAATGAAAATCACAAGTGAAGGATCTCTCCATCAGCAATCTTTGGTTTCTCCTAGTTTGGGAACCATTCTCTTTCTAAAATAAGCAAAGTAATTCACAGCCCGAGTCTCACCTCTCTCTCTTTCTGTTGACTCTGAGTAGGGGAAGAAAGATGGATAATATTTTGTCCCATTCCTTTTTGTCAGCATAAGCAGTGTGGCCCTCATTCAGCAAAGTACATAAGGAGGCCCTGATTCAGCAAAGTGCATAAGCACTTGCTTAAGTCTGTCCTTATTCAGCACTGCGTTATGGGCATGCTTAACTTTAAGCATGTGCATAAGTGCTTTGCTGTATTGGGATTTAAGTAGGAAAATTGTGAAGGATTTTGGGATCAAAGGTGCTATGAAATGCAAATTAATTATTACTACAACAAAAGTGCATGAAAAGCCAATTTCCTCATCTTTCTCTGTTAGTGCAAGCACACCAGTGTCAATAAAGCCTGTGCTACATCAAAAGTTCTATTCATTGTTGCAGTAATACCAGTAAACCTGGCACTTGAGTTCCAAAAATAAAGAAGACCATCAAGCTCCCATTGCTTAGCCAAGCATCCAGCAAAGCACTTCTAGAGTTTCTTCTTGATGATTTCATAAATGTCTTCATCTCACTCGTCTTAAGAATCAGGTCTCAGTCTCCACTGGACTTTGCTAAGAGGCCAGGCTCTATAGCGAGGCTCTCTCAGATCTCCTGTCTCCACAAAACAGTTTCCAACATGAAACGTCAGCTCTTCTCTAACCAACCTGCTAACTGCTTCAAACCTTCATGAAGCCTCTGCAGAAAACTTCTCTCCTTCACCTTGCCCTTGTGGCAATCACCTCAGTTTCCCACATAACTGAACAACAGTCATTTTCTACTGAAAAGACTCATATCCAACTTTCTTTTCTGACAATGGGGCCCTCGTACTACCTCCTCCTTTTGTTCCTATGTCAACTCACCTCATGTCTACACAGCAGCTGCAAGGGTGCTTCCCAGTGTGGTTAGACAGACCCAGTGTGGCCATGGCGACATGGCCGGCAGCTCAGGCTAGCCACCTGAGCACAAGCCTGCCCGATCCCTTGGGTACCTAGCTTCCGTTGGCCTAGCTCCATTGCTCGGGAAGAGGGTGTTTCTACAGCAATGGAAATACCACTGTCACTGTAAGCAGCGTCTACACTCTCGAGTTATGCCGACATAGCTATGCCACTATAGTCCCTGTAGTGTAGACATGGCTGTGGCTCAAATTAGCACACTTGAGTTACTCCACCTCAGCTAGCTTAGCTTCAGTGAGAGTGACCACAGGGCAAAAACAAACAAACAAACAAACAAACACACAAACACTTGAGCTACACAGAGTGATTGGATTAGCAGAATGATTGGAGAAGCAGCTGGAACTCAGGCTGTGGCATCCCCCACAGCATTATTGCTCTAGCGCCATTAGCACAAGTTTCAGACACCCCAAGTCCTGACAGGCACGCTAGCGATTTTTGTGTGTGGACAGGAGTTAAGATAGGTACAAAACTTGAATTATAGCTTGTACTAACGATGCAGTTAAGACAAACCCTGTATATGCACGTAGGCAATTTCTTGTGCTAAAATCCTTTTTCTCTGATACTTTGGTACAACTGCTAAATAAAAATACTTTTTTAAAGAAGACTGTTGATCACTACCACTGGTCACAGGTTCCCAACGGGAGGAAACCCTGGTGCTCAGAGCCCAGTCAGACCTGTCGGATGATAAGAAGTTGGTACAAGCTGAGTAGCGGTCAGTGATAAGAAGTTGGTCCCAGCCAAAGAGTGGCAGAATCACAAGATTCCACCCGGAGACAGGGAAAGACTTAAAGGACCAAACCCTGAGGTGGGTGCTCTCAGAGGGATCTGAAAGAGGACAGAGGTGCAGCTAGCCCTGTAACCGGGACAGATATTGTCTATGTTAAAATCCAAATCTCGAGTGAGGGGAAACCACCAGCTCATAGAGGAGG